AGAGCGAGACAGAGAGAGAGAGACAACATAGTAACTCCTTTTATATGCACTAAAGCATTCTGTAGATGAGGTGTTTTTAAACTGCCATAAATGAAAATGCAGTTCTTCAGTGTGTCTCATTAAGTGTCACAGCTGATTTTAATAAATACATAATGATATTCCTAATAGTCATATCATTCATTATTTTAAACAAATAGAGAGTGTGCGGGTAAAGCTTTAATGGGTCACTTAACTCAAATGAACCAAACATATTTTCTTATTGTGGTCAGTTTTCAGTGTAAAGGAATATTCCTATTTTTACATGTTTTAAAAAGAAACAAATGAACACAATAGGTATTTTGTTAATTTGGGTGAAATTATCCTTTAAATGCCGGTTTTGGTTATTTCTGGTTTCCAGAAGAACACATACACAAAGGTTTTTTCTTGGAAGTTACCTTTTAAAGTGTGTATACAGTATATGTGTGTGTGCCCATGAATACACAGGATAAGGGTTTCCAGTTCCCAAAGAACATGCCTAAACTCATTTTGTTGTTCAGCAGGCTGTACACACTCTTTCACGTCTGATACTACATTACACACACACACACACATACCCTGCTATAGCCTGCATACCGGAGTGTTGGTTTGTTCAGCTGAGGCACATTGAGCTGTCTGTCTGTTACCGCTTGTCCTTGAACCACACATCTCTCCCTCTTTCTGTATTTCCCTATGTCTCTCTCTCTCTCTCTCTCTCTCTCTCTCTCTCTCTCTTTTTCTGTCTGTCTCTACTTCTCTCTCTCTCTCTCTCTCTCTCTTCCTGCTAGGGGGAGCTCTCAGGCTGTCAGTGCTGCACTAGCTCTGCCAGTGAGAGGGGTAGCAGAGTACAAATGTGTGTGTGTGTGTGTGTGAGGGTGTTAATCAGATGACATCAGTGCTGAAAGACCACATTCACCTCTTAACTGTCAACACCTGCACACTCTGTACTTTACTGTCTGTCTCTCTGTCGCACTTTTTATTTACACCATGTACTGTAAACTCATGTCAGCGGCTGAGTGACATCTATAGCATTCAGTAGAGTGTGTATGTTTGTGTGTATGCTGTAGTGTACTGATAGTGAAGTAGCTAGAGCACTTAGAGCTATTGTAAATTATTTGACTATATTTCCTCCTGTATTTGAAGTTAATCAGTATCATTTTTTGCATGTATATTTGGCTTCTTTTTGTTTGATGCCAGTTCAGTTTGAAGAGATCAATGTTGTTGGTTTTTTTTTACTTTGCCTCTGTCTGTGATAAAGAGCGATGAGAGCATCCAGCAAATGATCTATCACATAGTATTAGTTATGGGAATTTTTACTTTGTAGGGAGCCAGATAATTTGGATCACTATTCCTTTAGTTCCACTTCTGGCTTTTATGATTCAGCAGGATTTACCAATATTTTAACCTATGATTGGTATGTGTGCACATATATCACTTAAATCATTCATTACTAAGCCATATCATTTCCAGAACACCATAATTTTACATTACGGTTGTAGTAAACCTTGAACAATAAAAAAACACCATATATGTATTAAACGTCTTACTTATATTGAACTATGTTTTATATATTGGTGTAACATACAAAGTTTCACCATGCTTGGCTTTAAATGTTATTACTTAAGTGAGATGTTTCTGGATTGTATTGATTTATTTTGAAAATATGAAGGAGCCGATTCCCATCGTTCAATTAAAAGACCCGGCTCAGAGAGCACAGAACAACACATCACTAGAAACTATTATCTATGTGTCTGTTTTTTTTTTTATGAAGCCAAATCATAATATCATTTGTACAGTTGAAAAATGACTTAAAATACACTCTAAAATTTTGGACTAATCTGAAAGGATTTGTATGTTTGTTATTTTGGGGATGAAGCACTACAGTTGCACTGCTGCTTGGAGCTTGTGCTGTGTTTCTGAGGCGCGCAGCACATCCCGGGCAGATGGCTCTGTGCTCACTTACACATTTTGTCCTCCACTAGTCTGAACTCTGTGCTTTTCTCTGTATATGTGAATGCAACTAATACACAATCAGATTGAAACGAATGTTCAGAATTTTTTGCCTCTGATCCATGTCTGATTAGCTTGACGCTGTAATCCTGACTTCGACCATAATGGGGGATTTCTCGTGATGAACTTGAATTAACTTTAAGGTAAACAGGTATTCATTTTAAATCAAGTCCAATCTGAAAATAGGCTGCGAGTCATGACACTGGAATGTTTTGTCTTAAGCATTTCCACAATTTCTGCTTGAAAAAGAAGGTATGTTTAATTTTTAGCACACTGATAATGTTATGTTCTATTAAATGAAGGTCATCACCTAGGATGCATCATGTATGTACTGTATCATACTTTATGTGAGTATTTACTATGCTGATGGATGATTTTAGTAGCCAGTTGGAAACCAGGAAATAACTGACATACTGAGTAATTTTCTCCTCAAATCTTATTTAGTAAGATGAGCTGTTGTGACCCACCCGCTGGTGCACTGTAAGTGTGTGCATGTGTGCTTATAGTAACTGTCAGTTTCTTCAGGTTTGGAGAAATGCCGAGGTGTGGCTATAGCTTAGTGGGCGATGAATGACTGTGATGCTGCAGGTGTGTGTATGTGTTTGTGCATGCCAAAAGTGTTTGACAGTTCTGATCTGTATGTGTGTGTTTGTGTTTGTGTAAGAGTGTACTGTGCTGTCTCACCCACAAACATTTAATCTTGATTGTAGACCTTGCATGTGTATCTGTGTGGGGTTGAGGAAACAGTATAAAAAGTACCAGTAAAGTTTATAGTTTTGATCAAGTCTTTTATTCAAGTCCATCATTATCATTGGTCTTAACTGGCAGAAACATTCTCATTTTGGGAGCAATTTGCAGCCTTTCATCAGTCAAAATGGGGAAAGTTATGATTCTTGTAAAAAAAATAATATTGTTAGAAAAACTGTTTAAAAAGGGAAAAGAACATTTTGAAAAGTAGCTTGCTGCTAATATGCTATCCAATTTTTGTCATTAATATTATCTTACGCTTGTGTGTAGAGTGTGAAGGGTCTGGATGGATTAACAGCACATTTACAGTAATAGGCGGTAAATAGAGGAAGCCAAACCCTAGAGACAGCAGCCTGCTTGGAGAAAACTCCACCCTGACAACAGGAATTCAAAGCGGTGCCTTTTTGGCCTTGAGACGAGCCAAATGCCATATTTTAGCTCTCAAATTACCTGTTGCTCTACCCCTACTGCAGATATACTGTAGACAGCTTGTCAGAAGCAGAGTGTTATTTTTGAGCCGCTCATTTTTAGACGTTCCATTTCCTTTGATTTTTTTGTTCTCCTTCAACCCCGGTTAACTGAAATCCTATTAGCGCTCTTGCCTGACTCACCCGAGCCGTATTAGGTAAATCAGGCCAAAGTGGCGCTTCTTCCTTCGCATCTTCCATTTGCATACACACTGTTGACTTCATCATCATGCAGTAACTATGGGCAAAGAAACCACAATCTAATGCACATTTTGTTTTTTGACAGTACATATAAACATAACGCAGAATATATGTATTTATGTATATATAGTTACACTGTATTTATAAGAAGAAGAATTAATTTTTTTAAATTAATTTAATACTAATTCTGTGGTTTCAAAAGTTCCTGTTCTAGCTGATCGGTGTATCTTCACACACACAGGAAGCCAGCTGTGTATTTGAGGGTTGGCTCACTCACGTTATGATAATCCTTCCTCTTGGTGATGAAGTCCAGTTTGCAGGGGTCAGTGTAGCTGTGGAGTGTTTGTTCCAGGTCAGCTCACTGGCTTTATTCTCTATAATGTTTATTACTGGAGAAATATACTCTACTGTACATGGCTGTTCACTTCAATAGCGAGGACAGATGGCTGCAGCCTGCAGGCCGCACACACACACACACACACACACACACACTCACACACACACACATAGACATAGACATGCACATACAAACATGATATGACACACTATGTATGTAGTACGAACTTGCAACACATACACACGTGCATAGGGAGCGGTGCAGTTGGTGAGTGGAGATGTGGGCTGACAGATCTCAGACACTGTGCACCTGCTTACACACAGACATGCTTCCTGTAGCCGTAGCAACAAAATACATAACAATAATAATATATATATATAATAACCAAAATCACAGCCTCCTCTTATAGTTCTTTTGCAGTTTGTTTAATGATGATGATGATTAAGATCTCTATAAGAAATAAAACAATGTATTTATTTATGTCTAGGTAAATTATTTGATTTAGTTGAATATTTTTAATCTGTAAACTGTAGAACTTAATAACATACATGTTATTAAACTAAATCTACACTTAGTATATAAGACTATATATAATATTATATATTAAAATATTATAATTTTTTTTTTCATTTCAATTTTCATTGTGCCATCATAA